TACCTCCACAGGTATATCTGGACCAACTGCCTCTTCATAGCTGTCCTCCTTTCTAATCCTCTGCACTTTCTGATTCACAAACTGTCCTCCACCTCCTCTCTCTCATTTTCTTCACTCATCAGCTCTTCAAAGCACTCCTACCACCTTCTCTACACTCTCTTCAGTTATAAGTACATTTCCATTTCTATCCTTAATCACCCTGCACATCTTTTCCAGTTGAATCTCTCCACCTAGCCAATCAATACAAGTTCTTTCCTTAGTGTCCAACTTCACGTAACACTCACTAAAAGTCTTTGCTTTGCCATTTCTTTTGTTGCTGTACTCCTAGCATCCCAGTAGTCCTGTCTTTCTTCAGTCAACCACCTAGGCTTCTTGTCTCCTTGTCATCCTGAAGATACACAAAATACCTTATTTGCAGTTTTCCTCACTTTTTCAGCTGTGCTTTCCTAATCATTAATTAACTTTCACTACCACCCAGAAACTCATATCATCTCATCTCCTCCCTAAACTCTGTACAGCATTCTTCCTTCTTCAACTTCTAACTCTACCGTCCTGTAGAAATTGCGCTCATACCACAAGCACTATTTTAAAAATAAAGACTCTATGCAGACAAAATGAAACGCCCCTCAACCCGACGTCGATTCGCATGAGAAACAGCGACCGGTGTATTCCTGGGGTAAAGGCTCCCTGCCCCCAGACGAGTTTAAAAACCCCTCGTCCAAATAAGATGACAGTCTTTGTCTACACTTGTGCAGCATATTCATATCTCACATCACACACACAGCACGCACTCTCACGCACCTTTGTTTTTACACATGTACAAAGCACTTTTAGAGTTTTAACTTCGTCCAACAGACTGAATTTTACAGGATTGTTTAGTTCCCCGTTTTCTGCCACCGCCTCTTTTTCTTCTTTGTCCTCTCTGTCGTCTGAATGGTCCTTAATTCACCCGAAGGCGTGCGAGGGGCTCATTCCTGAAGCGTGCCAGCAATGAGTTTACCTGCTGAGATGTCCCAGACCACCAGATGGGATCTGTTGAGTGTTATCAGCTTTGTTTGCACCAGTGCCAAAGAAATTCAGGCATTTTTAAATCAGAAAAGAAACTGATGTTTATGAGCTGCCTTTACCAAACTTTTGCTTATGTCCAGCCAACCCCAAGTTGATTGGTCTTACGCATTTATTATGACCTCCCTTTGTTTGGAAGACGACCGTTTCCATTTGTGCGAGACGTAATTATCTTTTTAAAGGCAGAGCCTGAGTGCTTTGTGAGTCTTCTGCGCAATTGTGTATAAAAGCCATTGAATGTGCATAGTTGTTTTACACTGAAATGCCACCATGTGCACATAATACATAAAACTATATGTGGCAGTGCTGAAATGTAAAGGGGTAATGACTTTATAATGGCCCCAAACGCGTAAGGATATATATTTAATCAAGAAATAGATTATATTTATGTTTGTTTTTATTCATTTGTATTAATTTGAATGTGTTTGTCAGCTGCTTAAACAGTTTACATCATTGCAGTGCAGGATCGCTCTGACTGACAGGTCAAATAAGAGGTCAAAGAAAATCCATTGTTTTATTTAAACCCAGCAATTGCGGAGGATTAGCTCCACATTTTCTCTGCGTACAGTTTTTCCTGCCTTCCTGCAATACGTGACGTCTCAGTCACACAGAATCAGATCTGTCTTTACACGTCGCAGCTCGGCGAGGAAAACAGCTGCAATGTGACCTTTAAAACAGGTGCAGGTCTATTCTGAAGTTATTTATGTCCTCGGGCATGAATGTAGCTGTGCTTAGATGTTTACTTATATTTTGACCCTAAATATTATTATATGGTCGGTCATTTTTGCCACATTATTTATTTATTTAGCTGTACTTG